AAAAGTTTCCGTTGGAGTCGCGGGACTTGATCTTTTGGGATTTTCTAAAGTCTTGGTTTTTCACAGACCTGGTTTACAAAAATTTTAATGGAATTTTCATATGAATCTCACCTGTTTATAAACTCTTTCAGTTGTTCAAATGTTTTTTTACAGTTGTCCTAGCTATTCTGGTTGAAGAGAAAAATTAAAAATAAAAAAGTCCATAAATATCTTTTTTCAACAATAAGGTTTCCAGTGTATAGTAAATTCAATTTTCTTTCCAAAGGTATCAAAACAAAAGTTTCATCTATTCGAGAAACATCGAGAAAACTAAAGAAAAGCAAATGTATGATCAACTATTCAGTTTTGGATGTACAAAGATTTAGAACATCTTAAATACTTTTTACTTCCAACCAAAGCAACACTGTTGACACAACAGCTTGACTTAATGTATCAGTGATTAATAAAAAAAGAGCGTAATTGAGAGTAATGGAACAGACATATAATAACAGTTTGTAATTAAACCGTTGAAGCTGTTAACAATCCTTAGTCCCAACGAGAATTTATATCTTGATCAGATCTTGCAAGATTCTTTGTTGAACAGACTCTTTAACGAATCTGACCAAGAACTTGGATCAGACTTTATCAAAATTTGAGCTTGACCATTTTGTAAAAAAGCTTCATTAACGGTTTTAAAAACCGTATCTCGACAAAACTTGATTAAATCAATCTACTTCATCGGAACTTAAGAGTACCTACCCTCTCTTATTTGCATAAAAAGTTTCATTTTGAGTTGAACATAGACTAGTGCAGAGGAAAGTTTTTCGATATAAGGATTTCGAGTATTTTGTGAATCTTGAGAAGAAAAGCCTATTTTTTGAAAAGAAAAAAAAACTAGCCTGAAATAGAGTTTAAAGTATCTGTGGCAAAATTTTTACCTCGATCGGACCGTTTTTTCGAGGGATCATAATGTGGCCTGATGAAAACTAGAGTTTTCCAGAAAACCCATAGAAGAACATACAAAAATACACCGATTTCCTTTTTCGATGTTCGATCTCTAGTGTAAATTTCACCCTGACCAAAAAGCGGCTTCCTCGGTTTCAAGAGGATCAGAAACGAGGACCCTTAAAGTGGTTATGTAGTGACTTTTTTTATACGAGTAGATAGCCCTAAGTTTGGACAATAGGACTCAAGAAAATCTCGATCTTTTTGCATATTTTTATAAATATATTTTGGGTCTCCTAGAAGCGCTTTAGACAAGCTGTAAAATTTTGTAGCATATTTTTGTGGATTTAGTATAAATTAGTTTAGTTTAATCTATATTTATTAGTCAACCGACATAAGTATCATAGATGGTCACGAATCGTAAAGCATTGTACATGACCGTCTGACGAAAGGTAGCATAGACAAATGAAACAGCAACAAAAGTAAATAACTATCGCTTTTTGTTATACATTACATATATAAGAAACTAAACCATACATATTCATGCTTTTTCTATTTTGAAATATGTTAGATAAAGATTTGCTTTTCTTTCAGCATTTTTATATTTGATCAACAGTCTTTATTGTGTTCTTTCCTATAAACATATTCAGGTAGAGTCCCCATAATTTATTTATTATTTGATAAGGTTAAATATATATTATATTATTTATTATTTATTTGAAAAGGTTGCTTTTAGTCATTTAGACATGTGCATAAAAGATATAATGACGATGATTCAACACGTGTAATATATGTAGTTTGCTATTTTCAAATAGTTGTGACTAATACATTTGTCTAATAGTTTTAACAGATTAAAAGTAATGAAAATATCACTTATTTTGTTCTTCATCTATCGAACAAGAATAGATGAAGATTTAGTTTTACATCCAGGATATTTTAATAGTTTCCACCGATATTTAATAGAGGAACTGATTACATTAATAGCCGGTCGATATGACTCTTTTCGCTATCCAGCACGTTGCATCAATTTGATGCAGTGACTTAAAACAAAAATTATTTTCATGGCATTCCTTCATCACAGTATATCGAAAAAAGTCGACAGCATTAAAATCACAAGTCTGTAACTTTTTAGCTCAAAAGTTGTTGAAAGAAAGTCCGTGTTCTGTTTAGAAAAGCATAGTAGATATGATTGTTTTTTTGTTTTCGTCTAGCTTTAACACTTCACACATGTTTTCGTTGCTTTATTTGTCCTTCTTTTTTTCACGTTTCGGGGAAAACCCAACGAGTAAATACTTGTTTATTAGTTCCGTTTTTAATTCACAATATATGAGTACACCAATTTAATATTCTATAGTACACTTTTCTAAGAATCTTTGGACATCCGCAATGGATCGTATCTCTTTGTATGTATCTAACGATTACATAGTTGAGAAATGCTTGATGTAATTCTTCGTCTATGGAACAGCACACTGGTTCAAACAAAAAACAAGGGTCAAATGATGAATCGTCTAATTCAGCAACTGGTCTGCAACTTGAAGCGGACTGCGTTCGCGAACAAGAGAGATCGCTTGTCACAAATGAAGTCAATTTACGATTACCGCCTGCTATTGGATGCAGTCAACCAACACCTTCGTTTCTCAAATTTGATAATGATTTCATATCATCCGGAGATATGCATCGCGAGTATGAAAACGATGTACACCAAATTAGAAGTACAACAGCTAATTTGGAACGTCTTCCCTCTTTTCAAAATGATCAACTAAGATCAACAAAGGCTACCACCATCATAACAAGTACTTTTCATCAGTCAGATACCAATTTTCGTTCAGATCATGATGATAAGAGTATGTGTCCGTATTATAAAAGTTCAACTGACGGCATACTCCAAATCGTAGAAGATACATTGAATATATTTTATCATGCTAACCATGGAAATTTTGAAGCCATCCGTAAAATAATTAATGTTAACTATGTGCAAGCCGTTCAAATGAAAAACGAAAAACAACAGGTACATTGTAACCAATCTGTTTTCAACAGTTTTTCGATCTATATCGCTGCTGTCTTTAGATATTATTGCATGTTGCGGTTATCCATTCGTTTTCCTATGTCTGGATTCGATTATTGTTGATGTGTGGCTCTGATCCTTGCGCTCAAGACCAAGACGGATATACACCGGCACATTATGCAGTCGAAAAGGATGATATAGAAATGCTAAAGGCATTGACGGTTAAATTGCAAGTCAAAACAAAACCATTGCAGCATAGCGATGTTGACAAAATACATGAAAGCTGTATTCAAGCATTAACAGTAATAGAAAAGTCAGGTAATTTTTATAGCAGAATAACACACTGTTTTATTTGCTTCATAGTGCTTTATCTTGGTTTGTTTAGGCAGAACGACTTTCATGTTGGCTTGCTGCAAAAGAGCATTGAAATGTGCAATCTTCTTGAGTAGCCAAGACGCAGTTGGTGATGTAAATCGCACAGTAAGTGATATAAGAGTACAGATAAGATAGCAGTGCAAGATAAAAAAATGCTGATGCCCAAATCACAGTGGACAATAATGAGGACACTTAATGAAAAATAAAAGTTGAGCTTTTTTTTATATTCAAATATGTGTTATTCAATTTTACCACAATCCATTCGAAATCGAGATGAGCTGTGCCGAAATAATTCACTGTCTTCCGCATATATTGATACTGGTATACATTTGACGAATGACGCCTTACACAATGAGACAAAATGATTTGTGTAGATTCTCATTTCTCCTTGTCTTGATGCTGTTTTTTGCACTTGATATAAAATTCAACACAGAGAACCATCTTTAATTATGAAGCAGGGTGGCCAATTTTTCTTGATTTCTGTTTATCTGAGCCTTTTGTGACCTTACAGAGAATTTTTGAATTAATTTTTCAAAATAATTTATTTATTTATTAATTTTATCAAAAAGGATATCTGTGCTTAACAAAAACAATTCTGTTCAAAAACTTATATGAAGTTACGGTGACGCTTGATAATAGAAAGAAAAATAGGTAATGGAAAACGGAACAAAATGGTCTACAAACCTTAGTTACGTACGATAAACAGTTTTTATTTCCGAATTTTTTGACAACTTTGATCTTTTCCGACTGACATTTTTGCTGAAAAGCAAATTTATCTAAAATTTCGAAACAAAGATTAAATGCCTATTTTCACGCTGATTTGAAATATAGTGGTGAAAACTGCAAAATATGAGTGCATTTCCGTGACTTTTTCTTGTATTTAAATTATAATGGATTGAGCCAATGATATGTAGAGTTTGTTTACTCAAAATATTGTAGAGCTTTTCAAGAGCTATTTTTCTGTACTAAAGAGTATTTGCATCCTCTCTTGCTTATGGAAGAAAATGGAAAAATATGCTCACTCAGGCGTGTTCACCAGACTCCACTAAGGTAGCGATATATCCAAACGATAATGCATTATTCCGAACATTATTTTATTCCTAGAATCTGTTTATTTAATAAAAAGAGATCTTGTGTTTAGGACATTTATGGTGATGCATCAATCCATTATGCCGTAGCGCATAACGATAAACCATTAACTGAATTTCTTATCAACGAATGTAAAGCTGATGTTAACAGAGGTGATCGCAGACGGCCAAGTGCATTAGACATAGCTTTATTTAATCAAAATCAGGAATTACAAAACTTACTATTCAATAACAATGGCAAAAATCGATATCAAATTAAGCGTGAAAGTAAAAGGTGTAAAATATCACAAGATGATATTAGTTCTAATATCGAAACTCTTTCGATTGTATCCCGTGAAGATGATCAATAGAGTGTTACTAGTGATCGTGAAGTACAAGTTGAGCATTCTTCTGCAGCCGTTGAACAGGTATACAAAATGACGGTTATTCACACTTAAAACGATACACCTTGCCCTGCAGAAAAATTAATCATAAGATAAAAACGTATCATTAACTGTTTCAGTTGCTACTCTATATGTTGTCCAGTTTTTAGTTCTACTACGAGGATTTGAATTCCAAAACTATATAGAATAATAAAACTGGCCAATGAAAAGTTTTAATTAAAAAGTATGTGTATATCGTATTGTCAAAAATTTGATCTACGCGTTATGACACCCAACAGCGTAGAAGTAAACTATGCGCACGAAAACTATGAAACAAAAAGACTGTATTTTACCGATTTGTGAAATAGATTGAATCACAAAAATATGTGCAAATGAAGGTTATAACCGTGCCTTCGTCAAGAGAGAGCCGAAGTCATTTTCTTCACATCGAACTCATTTAATGAATAATTAAAATTCTGAGTTATGTAGTTGCTAATTGGAGGACCTTTCCCGTCACACACTCAAAAAAGTCGATTTTGAGATTCACACATAGTGTAGTGAATCAAAGTCTACTCTTTCGATAGCACTAATTTCTTTTGTCTACAAGAACATATTTTCAGGATTTTTTTCAGCGGGTTCTCGAAAACCCTAAACTGCAGTTATATCCGTTACTAAGATATAAAAGTACGAAATGGCAATCAATGTGGAAAATGAGCGCTTAAACTTTGTATTTAAATCAATTATTCTTCTCAAAATTGTCAAGCTCGTCTTTGTACATTGTTTTATAATCAGCAAATTACGGGAGTAAATCATGTACAGTTCAATCACGCTGCTTTAAACAAATGATTAAGAGAAATGATTTCACCACTAGTCCAGTTTGGATTATGAAAGCTTTTGTGAGTAATAATCTGTTGCTAAAATTGGTAGGGCTACACCTTGAAAGAGAATGTTTCTTTAAAATGTGAGAAATTACCTGTATCTAAACGTGGGTTTTGTTTTGTCATATCGTTACTTGAAAATTTATGTATTTATGTAATAATCAAAATGATACCGCCTGTTTTCAGTTAAACCAATCGGAAACTTTCACTTTTATGTTTTTTATCAAGGGATAGTGAGCATGGTACCATTTGTAAAAAAGCGTGCAATATTTGCGACTTTCAATACTACTACAATTTTATTATTGACAATAACGGGAAACGTTTAATATAACATGAACGGCGATGAAAAATCTATTCAGGAGTCCTTTTCCAGATGCAGCCTATGATATTAAAACTCTTCATTAACGCGATATGACTTTTGATAAGATATATGGCGGAGATACGAACTTTGGAATTAGAATGACAGAAGAAAATGATTTATAAACAAGCTGAACAACTATGGCACGAATTGAGAGAACTAGAAGATGTTAATTTACTAGACATTCACGTTCCAATTTTTGAATAGTCGTGTGTCTAAAAAAAATTGTTTACATTGAGTCTTTTTCGAATAAGTTCGAAAAAGAAACGAATAAGCAGAGTGTCCAATTTGATCGTGAAATCAGCAAAAAGAGACAGAGACAACTATAAGTCTAATTCGTTAGACATGCTAAAGAGAACGTAAACAGCTGCCTTAAGCCTTGGTGTATTCGCGTGTCACCAGAAACACTTTCGGCCATCCTGAGAAACTCAGCTTCAGAGACCTTCTACAGCCTTCATGCTCTTCTTCTCTATTTTTATTACTCAGCATCAATAAAAAAAAGCAAATAAAACAATAAGAATAAACGTGGTCGCTGCTATAACATTATTCTAACATAAACTCCTTTCTCTGAATAAGAGAAAGGAGTTTATGGTATTGTATCCTCATCGAAAAAGGTAAGAGGTGAAAAAATACGAAAACAATTCGTTCTTGTGTGTGTATGATTGTGACTGTATAAATCATTATCAGAAGGTTTCTAAATAGTTAGCCGATCGCATTTTTTTGTCTTTAAAAATGAAAAAAAAGAAAATGACCCATGAAAAGGAAATACCATCTGCAACGGTATACGATGTTAGAGAAGAACGATTTTGTTATCCAGAAAAATCACATGCAAAATCATTTAAGGATGGAAAAGATTGGGGATCTGATTTCATTAATGAATGGTGTCTCGACTATCACGAATTGGTCAGTGACGACCGTTACTCGGAAATTGTTGAACAGGCTGCTAACGGTTAGTTCAAATTTGTTTTTGGAATAGATTTTCAGAGCACACTTTGACTCATTCTAGGTATTTTATGTGAGGGTAAATTATTAAACCAAGAATTCAATGCACAACAACTGGCTGATCGTCTCATGGAAGTGAAAAATAACAAGTGTAAAGAGATTCGAGAATGTGCTGCGCGTCTGTACTCAGCAGAATCATTTCTGTACAAACTGATTAATACAGTTTTGAGAGCGGATGACAAAAGTAAAGTTGACACATTAGGTGCGTATTGTTACCTGTTAGATGATTATTTAATGAATTCAAATGATCACGGAGAGTTAACTGTTTATCGTGGCTGTACACTGACAGATGAAATGATTGCAGAGTATAAACACTTTGTTGGCAAATGGATTAGTTGGCTAGCATTTACATCGACAACTAAAGCTCCTCAAGTTGCTGAAATGTTCAGTAGGAATACACTCTTTATTATACATATTAGAGACACATCACAATGCTATAAATGTGATATATCATCTCTATCACAATTTACACATGAGCAGGAAGTCCTCTTAACTGCTGCACATTACTTTTATGTGACTAAAATCAAACGTGACCGACAAAGTCAAAAGTATTTAATATATCTAACCTCACTTTAGAAATAGTGGAGCTATTTTTTTGAGAGAAAAATAAATGCCGTGCCTTTAATTAATATTGAGGTATGATGTTGCGGGTGGTGCTTTATGATTTTCGTATATGACCGAAGACACCGGTCGGAGGCTAACAATTTTTAATCAGTGCAGCAGAGCCCTGCAGGTTGATCCTAACCTAACCTATAGGTTAGGTTAGGATTAGGTTGCAAGAGTTATAGGTTCGGTTCGGTTGTAGGTTGTTATTTCTTTTTCGAATAGTTGCTACTTTTGCTCAAAATAAAAACTTTTTTCTGATTTTAACGACATTGTTCTTATTCTTTATGTCTGATTGCCTTATTTAAGACAATAGATTGCAAAATGGTTGGACAATATTTTGTGCCAACTATGTTCGTTTCTGTTGTTCTCTCTCTTCCTGCTTCCTTTACTTCCTTTTACTTTTTCTCTAAACTTCTACACAAACTTCGTCTAACTAACCTCAAAAATGTCGTCAACGAATAAGCAGGAAATCGAAAAGAAAAAAATTATGGGTTAGGATTAGGTTATCGAATCCGTAGGTTAGGTTAGAATTAGGTTGCCAAATTTTGTTTAGGTTAGGTTATAGGTTGCCAAAAACTGGTAACCTGCAGGGCTCTGCAGTGCAGTATGTCCAGCCAGTCATATACATGAAATGAAAATGCGTAAAAACGCGAGTTGGACCAAAATGGGTCGCATGAATACGCAACTTTAGCAATAAAACAAGCGAATTTCTTGCAAGTTTAATTCAACTTTCAAACAAAGCATCTTTCTGACATAAATCACTTTTGAGAAACGCGTTTCCAGTCAGAATGAAATTCGAAAGGCATGAGATGCCTCTCGCATTTTTCGAATTTAGGGACAAAATACAATTCAAAAAGGAGCGTTTTCAATTTTTCGAGTTGTAGCGGGTCGTGTCCAATTTTCGCATAAAATTCGGTTTGAACGCTAAACAAGCGTTTTTGTATCGAAATCAATAACGAAAAACGCCTTTTAAACGCAAGACTTAAAAATAGTTGCGCTTCGAGTAAGAATGGAATTTATTTCTTTACTTTTTAAGGAACAGTTTTCGTTTCTTGCGTGGGAATTAGGTGGGATAGGACTCAAAAGGCCAAGAAACGAGTTTCAGATGCATATAGACAGGCAGACGCATGTTATTCTTATTGAAAATGTGGTTCTCGTTTACAAAAAGCGGTAAAAGGCAACGGTTCTTGCGTTTCAGAGAAGTAGCATACGCTTCTCTCGTTTGAATTTGAGGGTCTTCTTAGGAAACAAGTTTCGAAAAAAGCGTTTCACTTTAGGACGAATTACGAGCAACGCGTGTCTCTGTAGTATGACGCGCGTTTGAAAGAATCTGAAGTCTACCTTGTTTATTTGTTCAACTACTGTTTCGTTTCATATGATTTTTATCAATATTTTATTCAACTGATAGCAAAACCCACGTATATCTGAGCCTTTATAACCTTACTGAGAATTTTTGAATTAATGTTTCTGAGGTAATCCAAAAACGATTCTGTTCAAAATGTAATCACATTTTGTAGAGAAAGCGATTCTACACATTTCGAAGTACATATGAACCATTATAACATTATGGAGACTTTTTAAAATAACTTTCTGAGGAGATACATAAAGTATATCGGTGCTTAACAAAAACGATTTTGTTCAAAATCTAATATAAAGTTATGGTAAAGCTTGATATAGAAAAATAGCTCTTGAAAAACCGTACAATGTTCTAGTTAAACAAACCCTACATATCATTGGCTCAATCCTTCATAGGTCAAATACGAGCCCAAGGACACCTAAAAGTGAACACAATTCATGTTTTAGCCATTTTACTCCCAGAGATAAGAGAGGATGCAACTAGTCTTATAGAAAAATAGCCCTTGAAAAGCTCTCCAACATGTTTGAATAGGAAACTTAACGAAGCGTGGCCAAAATCAATGAAAAGTGAACCCCTTCTTTATCTAAAAATTCCGAAACAAAGATTCGACGCAGGTTTTCACGCTGATTTGGAATATAATGGTGAAAACTGCAAAATAAGAGTGCATTTCCTTGATTTTTCTTGTATTTGAATTACAACGGATTGAGCCAATGATATGTACAGTTTGATTATTTAGAATATTGCGGAGCTTTTTAAGAGCTACTTTTCTATACTAAAGACTAGTTAAAAATTCGAAACGTTATAACTCCTGAACGGATGCATATTTTTAGATGAAATTTAGAATCTGCCGATGAAATTCGATGTAGATTACGATAAAATTCTAAAAAATGGAATACTAAAAAGAACAAAAAAATTTTGAGGGGAGTGTCCAAAGAAAAAACTTTTTTTTCGCAAACTCCGATCGCAAAGTTTTTTTGTTAGAAACTCATCATTTGAGCCCAATATCATCCTCCATAAGTTTCATCTGGGTCCCATGCTCTGAAGTTGAGATCCAGCATACCCAAAAATCCTGGCTACGTGCCTGAAAGCGAGAGAGCCTCTCTCGCTTTCAGCACTGAAAATTTATTGAGAAAACATCCATATACCATTCTGTTTTGATGACAATAGATAATACAGGCCACGATTTTCGCGAAAAAAATGCGTTTTCAGCTGCGAAACGGGTGTAAACACGTTTTTCTAACAAATAAAATTAAAGTTACCCCTAGAAATCTTTCGAAGTAAACAGGTCTTGATTAAAAAATAAAAAAGAGCAGGTAAAATAGAGTACATCTTGATATTCTTACATGCTCTGTTTTTCTCGTTATTATTTTCTCTTTTTGACTACAACGTTACTGTGCCACAAAGTTTGCTTTATTGTAACTACCTTACTTATTACACCGGACTAAATAAAACGAAATTGAATATTGAATTGAAAAAAACAATACAGACAATTTATTCATACTTTATTAGTATTGCTTTCTGGTGAACCAAATTCCTTAGAGAACGCGATCCAATTATTACTGTTTTCTCTGTCCAATACAGCAAATACTACTTGCTGCAACGACCCACACCTATACTCTTCCTTATCCAAACATCTTCTCCACAGTTTTGCTTCCACATCTGGATTGTGGCAAAATGCTCCACACCCAGTGGCACCGGCAACCAAAGTGTGTACTCTTTTTGCCATACACGTTTTCAGAACACCTTCAATATCGATCATGCATCTTCTCTCCATCTCTTCCTGATTTCTCACGCTGTTGCTCAACGAATAGAAATAATTTCGTTCAGAATACGGACAGAATATTGGAACGTAAGGACGAAAGTCGGCAAAAGCGGTGGCGATCATTGCGCAATCGACGTGGAACGGACCTGTCATGAACTTTGTCATTGCCCAATAATTTCCGCCTGGAGGTATATGCATGCCCGTCTTATAAGATACCCATCTTCCCCGTATCCATGATTTTAATCCTGTTTCAACGAACTGACCCATGGTACCCAGCAATACCGCTCCATCACAATTGGTTGCGACCTCCTCTTCTTGAGATCCACCGCTATCAACACTATAGGAACCACAAACGTTATGGCTAGCCGCAAAATTTAGCCATGCTATCAGCTTCGATCCATCTTGCATACCTTGATGCAATTCTTGGACTGCTTCTTGTGTACCTTGCCGTGTAATTCTTATTTCTAAGTCATGATGAGATTCTGATGATCCCGATTCATGCTTACAATGTGGAGCAAACCAATCAAATAGTTGCAGAGATTGCAAGTGCTGGATCATCTCCATTTTCTTTTTTCTCCTCTCATCTGCATTATCTATGAACATGCCATCCCATCCGATATCATCACGAGAGCCAATGGCGTACACTCGACTACGAAGAATCCTACGATCGGCATGACTCTTGGACGTGCTCAGTTGACGCCACTCTGGTTGTTTCATTTGATTTGTGAGACTGACTGCAAAGTTCTGGAATTCCCGGCCATGTAAGTCAAAGAAGCGTGATCCATGAGAATGCCACAATTGTTTATACTTATCAGAAATAGTACTTATTTTCGCTTTGGCATCCGTTTGCAGCAAGTCATTGGTCCATTCGCGAAATATACTTTTCTGTTCATCACTCTCTTCGAAACGGAGGTATAATTGGTTCAGATCGTCTTCGTCATTGACATTGATATGGATCTGTTTATTAATGACGGTTCCACAGGGGAATAGCTCTGCATTATTCACACGTACACGTGGGACAGTTGACGAGTTCATTGTTTTCTAGGAAATAAGCTAACACCTACTTCCTAATTCGAGAGCAACTTCAGTTTAAGAATAAATAGGAATAAGTTGTATCAAAGGAAATTTTATAATTATGTCTACAATATCAAAATTTATACGTTGATAAGCTGTCTGATAAATGGAAAGCTTGCTGAAAACTGTGATCGGTCGAAAAAGATGCTTACGATATCATAAACTTGTGCAGGATAAGTCACGTAGTAATATCGTCACCGCCGACGCTATTCCATAAGACATCATCACATACAGTAGATATAGGTCACTCTAGTCTCATCAACATCACCACTGTACTGCTACTGCGTAAGAATCGATGGAATCTATACAAACGATAAGAACACAGAAAATCTAATCATTAACTGATTGAGCATTGTAGTTAAAGGCTTGAGAAAATAGAAAACTTTCAGAGATTACAATTTTGAAATCTGGAAACGGACTCTACTGTGACTGGACTGGTTGATCGTTGGAGCGAAAAGATGGAAAGGGGAAGTTGATTTTTTCCCTCCTTATGGAACATAGAGTATCGTTCTTGCGACACTGAAATATGGAGAACTTTAGTTTTATAATGAGGATTGCTGGGATTTTTAAAAGACAGTATGGGTTTGGAAGGGGTAAGCTTTTTGCTGGTGCCTATAATCAGCTACTCCTAATGCTATGTAGGTTACAGACCAGGCTGAATATTGGAACAGTGTGGTCTAAAGAAAATAACGTTCATCAGCCTCCAATCAACAAAGCTATATAATAGAAAAATGTTTAGATTTCTCTAAAACGTTGACAGTTTACTCCTCAGCTGCTGCTTTCGATGCAGAATATAGAGATAAAATGTACCATTCGAACTACACTGTGAAACAGAATTATTGAGTCAGAGATGTCAGAACAACCTTTAAGTTCTTAGCTAAAGCAAAATTATAAAGTCGAAATGTTACCCTCAACATGTTCGTAATACCCATGCCATTGTTCTTTAGTTTAACTCATCACTCTAAAAGATTCAAAACCGACAACTATTTCACGCCTCGTGAAATGTTTGCGTTTTCAACTGTTGGTATACAGCTCGTGTTCGCTCACTTTATGTGTTCACACTTATAGTATCTGATGCAACGGTTGTGAAATTACGATGACTTATATTTGTTCTTCTTTTACACAACCCATGAATAATGAAATGAAGAAAAACCTTTCTTTATACTTTTACAGACATACAGGTAGCTGAAAAAAATCAGCCTGATATAGAAACTTACCAAAACAGGTATGATATTTATTAATTATGCAAAACACACAGGCAAAAAACGTTTCATTTTCTAAAAAGTCGCCTTCGTCAATTCATATTTTTTTTTCTAAAATGATCACGAAGCGAACGTGGAAACTGCGTCTAAATTTGTGTATTTGTATGAAAAGTGAAACTTCTGCACATATGAAATGTGTCGTGCACTCATATTCTGGAACACAAACAAACTAGTGGAAATGAAAATCTTCAGAAAACCATTATCAAGCCACGTCCCGACCTGTTGGATCAAAGTACCTTTTAGCTGAATGCGTTATTTGAATTGGTTCTGTTTTCACCAGCCTTTAGCTTTAATGCAGGATCTTATATGGTTAGTAATTCCCTGAGGTTTAAAGTATTTTCCACAACCTGGGCACTTGTACAGATTATTGCCATGTTTTACCAACGCTTCTGTCATTTTACACTAGGGTTTTCTCTGCGCAGTTGCCATTTCTGACTCTCTGCGTTGAACTGCACGTTGTTTATATTCGTACACGATACTCCCGATATTCTGATGCACTGGCCTAGTTCGTACATTTTTATTAATTGCTTCTCTCCAGTGATCTCTCTCCTGCGTCAGTCTTCTCTTTTTTTATTTGCAGTGTTTCAGTATCATTCAACACTTTATCCTCCCATCGTTTTCTTATTCCAAGACTTTTGAGGCCTCTTTTCATCATGAAAATATATCTTTTTTTATATCTTTTTTCCTCAAAGACCCGATGTTTCTATACAAGAACCTCGTGTGGTTTTGATGGAACACTCGATCTTTCTCCACAGGAACTCGCCCCCTATAAGCGCTTCACTAGTTCAATTCATGGACACTTCAGAATTACTTCCACTTCACTTGATCACTGAGCTGTTATCCGCTAGTTGTTTACGGTTCCGTTGCATGCCTAAGACTGAGTAATATCTTAATCAAAACATGTAATAAGTGTGTCCATAAGTATTTTTTGTTCCTTTTTTTACGTCAGTCTAAAGTGATTCGTTTCACTTGAATGATTAAGTAACACGTACTTGAATTCCACGGAAAAGGGCTTTTGTATTTCCAACTATACCAAATACATCTCCGTTTTGCCTTTCGAATGCAAAAATCCGTTCCGTTTTTTAAAACAGTGCTTTAACGGGAAATGCAAAACAGGTTAGGGTGAGGATGAGAGGCCTATATTAGAAATAGTCGAAAAGATCTCACTGAGGTAACCGTCATTTTTACCCACTATAACCTCCCAGTTGAACATATTTTGGCACTGCCACATTGTAAACCATGTTGAATTATCAATGTGGGAAAATGTTCACAACCAACGAACAAGTTTTCGCAGAGATCGAAAAATTTTACTTTCTAATCTAGTAGGGAACCAAAATATTTCAGATTTTTTGAACGCTCAAACTTTTTGATCTCTGCGAAAACTTGTTCGTTGGTTGTGAACATTTTCCCACATTGATAATTCAACGTGCTCTACAATCTGGTAATGCCAAAATATGTTCAGGTGCAAGGTCATAGTGGGTCTTTGGACATCCGAATTCCAGGACAGAAAAGAAAACGAATATATTTCACTTATATAGCACTTTCTTTTCTTTTTCTGCCCTTCTTTTTACACACGTTGTTGAAATCAACGTTTTTCTTACAATTTTAGACGAGACGAAAAAGAAGTATCTGTTATACAAGGCATTTATTTTCGAAAGTAGTGTAAAGACAATTTTATATTCCACGTTTTTTCATTTATATAAGAGCGAAAGTATAAGT